GTCATGACCATTAGTTATATTCTTAGATAAAACACCAAAAGTACAAGTGACAAGAGAAAATAATAAATTCAGCTTCATGAAAATGAAAACCTATGGTGCTGCAAGTGATACCACTAAGAAAGTGAAAGCCAGGCATGACTATGACTGAGTGTCATCCTAGCTACTAAGGAGAGAGAGATCAGGAGATCAAAGTTTGAGGGTAGTCCCAGGAAAAAGCTGGTGAGACCCCATCTTAATAAACAAGCCAGGCATGGTAGAACATATCTGTAGTCTCATTTATGAAAGATACTTAGTAGGAGGATCACAATCCAAGGCTAGCTAGCCCTGGGCAAAAACATGTGACCCTATGTGAAAAATAACTAAAGCAAAAAGGGGCTGAGAGTGTGGCTCAAGTGGTGAAGAGCTTGCCAACAAACACAAGGCCTAAGCTGAAACCCCAGCACTGCTCCCTCCCCTAAAGGTAAAATGACCAAAGCAAACTGTTTGTGAATCATGTACCTGACAAAGGAATAACATTCACAATACATAAAAACACATAATTTGGTAATCAAAATAACTCAAATTTTAAAATGGGCAAAGAATTTAAATAGGCATTTCTCTTAAGAAAATATACAAATGGTCAATAAACATGTGAAAAAATATTCAACATCACTGACAATTCAGGGAAGTACAAACCAAAACTACAATGTGGAACCAATTTAAACCCACCAGAGTGGTTAAAATATAAAGGACAAGAACAAGTGTTGCCAATGATGTGCTGTGGAGACAGTGGAAATCCCTTGTCGATGGGGATATAAAATGGTGGAGCCATTCTGGGTATTAGGCAGTCTGTTCCTCAAAATGTTAGCACAGGACTGGGGAAGAAGTCTCTCATGTGGCAGAGTGCCTGCAGCAAGTATGAGGCTAAGTTTAAACCCCAGTACCACCAAAAAAAAAAGCTAAACGTACTTATAACCCAGAAATCTTATTCTTAGATTTATACCAATAAAATGAAAGCTGATCCCCACAAAAAACACAGATGTTCACAGAAGCATGATTCATAGCACCTAAAAGTGAAAACAACCTAAGTGTCTATCAAGTGATGAACAATAAACAAAATACAGTGTGCTCAAATGACAGAATGTTGCTTGAAACAAAACAAAATCCCCAACACACTACAATGTGTATGAACTTTGAAAACATGCTAAGTGAAACAATCCAGTCACAAATGATCATAATTTGGTCCTATTTAAATGCAATGTAACTGAGCAACTCTAAGAGACAGGAAGCAAATGAGCAGGTCCTTAGGCCTGGGGCAGGGTCAGGAATGGGGAGGGAACAGTCAAGGGCAAGGGTGATGAAAATATTCTGAAGTCAGCTGCCATGATGGCTGCCACACTGCTGAAGTGCTCCCTTGAGATGGTGAGCACTGTGTATGTGAGCCGGATCTCCACAAAGCCATAAAAACACAAGTGAAAGGAGGGATGCTACTCCTCTTGCCTGGCTAGTTCTTATTTTGCCACCTGCATTTCTTCTCCATCCACCACTTACAAACCTCCCCCGCCTCCAGCTCCCATCACTGCTGTACTTCAGACAGAACCAGTCTCCTCTGTAACACTCAGTCTAGCCAGCCTCCTTCAGAAGACTTATCTTAATGATGGAAGCAATGAAACGGCAGAGTATGTGTAAGGAAAGACAATAATGGTTACCGAATGTTGCTTGTGTTTCAGGCAAAATGTGAGGTATATCAACACTTTACATTTACTTCAGCAAGTAAGCAGTTATTATCATGCTTATTTTACATATGTAATGAATATCTATTGAGCAACTATTATGTGCCAGGCTGTGTTCTAGATGCTGGTCATATTCTAGTGAACCAAACAGACAAAAGAAATCCTATTCCTGGAGCTCAGACAAAAAATAAAATAAATGAAATCTTAATGAAATGATAAGTGCCATGGAGAAAATGGAGCAAGAAATGATGAGAAGGGAGTTTGGTGGGAGGAAGGTTTCAAGCAAAAGCCCCGCTAAGGTGCTGCATGAACAAAACAGCTGGGAGAGAGGACACCAGGCAAGAGTCCTGAGGCAGGGCTGAGCCCAGTATGTTCAGGGATCAGGAAGTGGTGGGGTGGCAACAGGCAGAAGTGGAGGGAGAGTCCTGGAACTCAGCTGAGACGCAAAACTGGCCTAGTCTTGCAGGGCCCTGCAGGTCATAGAAGAACCTTCTTTGTGTTTCCTTTGAGGAGGACAGAGAACCACTGCAGACTGCAGGTTTTGACAGAGACATATAAAGAGAAAAATAATGGTTAAGAGGCTCCTGGTTCCTCAGGGTCAGGGCCAAAGCAACTGAACCAATCAAAATTCATTCCCTCTCTAAACTCTGAACCAAACTAATTGAGCTAGTAGCCAAGGTTAGGCCTTAAATGGAAAAGTGATGGAGACACAGGGTTGGGGCAGCTATTTTCTTGCACATCCAATCTGAACCAATAAAAGCCAACCTTCAAACTAATGCCACCGTCCTACAGGGAAAAGCAGAGGCAAGACGAAGCCGAGAGATGGGGGTAGGGAGGCAGAAAGAGAAACTTGATACAAATCTCATTAGGGTCTGATGTCCTTCCGGTTCTTGAGGAGGGGTTATATGGGCATTGCTGGACCTTCCAGTAAATCTCCTTCTGCTTTAGCATCTATGTGGTTTCTCATCCTTACAACCAGCTCCCTGGTTCAGATAGAGGTGAACTTTTTTTTTTTTTAATCATCCAAGTAGCACATGGGATTAAAATGGGCATTTGTTCATGGTTCTAAGTACTACTCAGCTTGGGTAACTGTTGAGAGGAAAAAACAAGCCACATGGAGTGGTACCATGAGGTGGCCTTCTGCCCATCTCACTACAATGGCTCACGCTTCCCTCAGCCAGTCCTGAGAACAACACAAAGTGCCCTCATGTGAGAACAACATAACATAACTCAGCAAGGAGCAATTCAATTATCTAACCCTCTATTCTAATTTTCTCATGTGTTAATGTCATTAGCAAAGCTTTTAGTACATCCTGAAAGGCTACACACACACACACACACACACACACACACACACACACACCCGCCCCCCACCCCAGGGTACTAAGTTATTGTTACTCTTTTAAAATGAAGTCCGTTAGCTGTGAAGGACCTGCTTTAAGATAACTAGGCTCTGGGTTTTAGAAGGCCACAGGCTGTCTTGGCACAAGTAGGCTGCAGTCTTGTTCCTTATGGGGAGCAGGGCCTCAGCTAACTACTGTCCTTCCCCTAACTGCCTCTTGGCAACAGCAGCATGCCAAGATACCTGCCACACATATGCCCAGGGAGGAATACACCTCCATCAACCCTAAACACAAACCATCCCAGAGAAGGAAGAACAAGGCCACCAAGGTCTTGTATTTGCCTTCTGCCCCAGCACACAGGCTGCCTCCTAGGCAAGGCAAACAGCAACCAAAGGATGGGTCTGCAGTGCTGAGCCAGCACAAAGGATTCCTGAACTGCTGTTCTCTAGCTGCTAACCATAAGACCCCACAAAAAGCTAATAGCCACCAAGTTACCTGATAGGGTGAGTGAAGTCTACAGGAGTTATAATTACTCATAAGAAATGTGCCATCAGTGACATCAGGGGACAATGGGAAATGTACTTTAGCTATTCTCTCTAGACCTCTGTGGAGACTGGGCAGCTCACTCCAGGGATATGAATGCTAACTCTGTCCTCCACAGTTGCTAACTCTCTCCTTCACGTTGCACAGTATATCTAAACAATAAAGCTCTGTCAGGTCATAGTCTACTCTTATTTTTCACAGGAATTAAAGGTTAAAAAGAAAAGTACCCACCAACTTCTACTAGAGCAGCCTCAAAATAAATCTTTTTTCACGGCATGAATTTTAGTGCTAATCTTATTGATAGTTTTATCTGATTTTTCAGCCCTTTTCTTTCCTCCACCCCAATTCCCTACATAAAAATCTCAACCTTGTTGCTCTTGTGTGTTTGTGTGAGAACCCGAAATCTTATGGTGAACAACATGAATATACGTCTCGATTACAATCTCAGAACCTATAACTATTCCAGATCACCTAATGATTACCTGAATGTCTGAAATTAGCCTGAAAGTTCAATAAGGAGCAATGAATAAGCAAAATGGGTTTACTGTAGATTAACCTAAAGGCTCTTGGTATGGCAGGGATCTAAGATTCCCCTGTAAAATTTCTATTAAGACAATAACCATTCTCAGAAACCAGAGAGAATGCTCTTCTGTGCGCATTCACAGGCAAAGCTCATTTCTCATGACTGACATGTTCAACCTATTTCCCAAATAAAATTTGACCTGAATAGACCACAAAGTTATAAGAATCTCAGAACAGATTTTAATTTTTTCGAGTCTAAAAATGCAAACTATGCTGGCAGAGTGGCTCAAGTGCTGGAGTGCCTGCCTAGCAAGCATGAGGCCCTGAGTTCAAATCCCTGCACCGCCAAAAAAAAATACAGTTGAAGCATTTCCTACTTTGCTGGTGGAGTGGCTCAAGTGGTAGAACATCTGACTAAAACTGCAAACTAATTCCATATTGTCTGAATATCTTATTTTTACACAAAAGTGACCAATCAGAAACCATCAATATACATGCCCCTTTCATATTAGGATGTGTATGTTTATCGTATCTTATTAATGTTGCTAAAATCTTACTAGGGAATAAAAAAGAGAGAACTGATGTCAATAGCTGGTGGCCTTGTTTCTTCTTATTCCCCCTTAGCCCAACTGTTTTACTTACCTGCATTTATCATTTCAGCACTTACTGGTCCTGAATGTGATTTCACAAATGACTTTAGGTGAGGACTGTGAAGCACACACTGCACCCTTTTTTGGGATATTCATCCTCTATTCTCCCAGAATCAAAGCTGCTGCCACCATTTCCCAGGGTCACCTAACGAAGAGTCCCTTGCTCACCCCTACTCCACTGGATCACCCAGCTGTTGTGGGATGGCTGTGGTCGCCCTGAAGGCACTCACCAGGGTGACAATGGCACATTCAGCAGTCAGCTGAGCAGCACTGAACAGTGTCCGAACAAATCGGTAAATCTGCTTCTGCTCTGGGTTGTGTTTGTCATAGTCTGGTGGCACTTCAGATTTCTAGAAAAAGAAGTATTTTCAGATACCTGTTCACCCAGTAGGAGCAAAAGAAAAAAAATCTCATGAAACACAAGGGGATTACCGAAAGAGGGTGAAGGTTTTCATCAAAAATATCTAACAGCATCCTTCCATCTGGGTCCCTGGTGGGGAAAACAACAGAAAATGGAGTTTTCTTTTAAGAATAAACGAGTTCCATTCAAAATACAACAAAAGTCACTTTGATTCAACTATATTTCAGGACAAAATATAACAGACACTGCTGGATAAGTTATGTTTCTTGTGGACAATACTTAATTCCTTTTGTTTTAACAGCCCAAGGAAATAAACAGTTGAAATAAGCAAAAATCTACACTTTAATTTTCTGAGTTTTCAAATGAACCAAATCAAGCAAAAGATTTAAATTTCTTTTAACATCTTGATTCTGAGCAAAGGCCAACAGATCTTCATACACCACTACATAGTAGCTGACAAGAAGTACCAAGGGCGAAAAAGAAAGTTGATGGATCCTTGAGATCAATCTGAAAGTGTCACAACATGCAGCTCAACTACTTCACTGATGAGTTTCACAACCTCACACTGAAAAAGAGGCAACAAGTAGGAAGGCCTCACTCAATAATCTGTAAGCCTGTAAAAGAATGGCTGGTAGTTTCCAGGCTGGTCACTTCAGAGAACCATTAAAAATTTCCACTGTGCACCATGCCTCTGGCTGTGGCCACTCTAGGGACCTTGTATATCTAACCAGTGACAGTTCCACTTTCATATAATTTGAATTTTATCTAAAAAATGTTCTTTAAAAACCAAATGTGGAAACCACTGCTTCTGGTGCACTGCATGTAATTCCCATCGTCTGTGCTTCCAATGTCAATGAGGCTAAAGAACATCAGAAGGCTTCCAGATCCACCCCAACACACATCCATCACATCAAACACTATGATTTCTGCCTTTTCTGCTCTACAAATTTACCATTATCTCCAAAAATGAAAGAAGAGTAAGCTAGCAAAACAGCTCAATTTTCATTCCTGCATTTGGACAATAGGAATTGTTTTAAAGCTCAGGGAATACTCTCACTTCTCTTCAGATCACAGAAATCTTTCACATTTTCAAAGAGTGCTGGGTACTGACACTTGTGCTTACTTGTACTTGCCTGCATGAACCCAGGCAGCATTGATTTAGATAGACCAGAGTCAAAGAAAGGTTCACACTGAGAGCAGAGCCTGAAAGCATGGGCAGCTCCTTTTAGGTGTCCCTGACTACATATCCTTTGACACTCCATGCCCCAGCCATGAAGAACCAGCAGACCCTCTCACATCCATTATTGCCTCTGCAAGGTTCTCAAGAGGTTGTGTGACACAAACCTAGTGCTGCATCCCATTTTGCTGAGCAGCTGGGGGTCCTGTTCAATTTTCTGGATGAACAAAAGCCCCTGAAAAGCCATCCAGCTACTCCAAAAGTAATTGTAAAAATGAAAGCAGAGATTAGAAATATAAGTGGAGATTAAGAATGTGAGCCAAAATGACTGTGGGGGGAAAAAAAGACCGCATCCTCTGAGATGTGGACTATTTCCTTTCCCTTTCATGGAAAGCTATATAACCCAGATGAGAGCACCATGTTTCTCAAGCTGATGGCTCTATGGCCAGCCAGCACCAAAGGTTTGCTCACTATGATTTGCATAGGAAAGATTCTGTAGTCACATCTCCACTTCCCTAGAGACTTACAGGTGTCAATCAATCTGAATGTCTACAAATGCTCAGTTCTTCTGGCTGAACTTCACTGACTTTTGGCCTAATTTATTGCCACTAATCTAAAGGAGCAATAAGACTAACGGTTTGGATAATAGATTGGGTTCAAATCCTAATTACTCAATTTACTACTTATATGCTATTAATACAATTATTTAATCTCTCTGTGCCTTAATTCCTTGCCAGTAAAATGGAGATACTATCAGTATCACTTCACAGAGCTATTAAAACTAAATGAAGTAATACATGTACAAATGGTAAGAATTCTGAGTATGCACTTACTAAAGGTGGCTCTTATCATCACCACCTCTGGCTGAGGATCCATGACTTAAGGATCTATGATAGTATAAGAAGTGGGAAACCTGGGCTGGGGTGGAGCTCGGTGGTAGAGTATGTGCTTAACATGCATGCAACCCTGGATTCAGCACCAAAACAAAAACAAAACTGAGAAATCTCTTAAAGATGCTAATGCAAAACTGGTTTCAAAGCACATCTGAGTTACAGTAGTAATATTATAGGTTAGTTAAGGCTTCATAGTTTAAAAACTTTCTACCATAGAAATAAACTGCAAGACAAAATGTACATTTTCACTATTGTTCTAATTCAAGAGTTCCAAGGCTAAATGGAGAGAGTGAAGGAGGGCAAATATGATGGATGTACACTGTATATACATGTAAAAATATATCAACAAAAATGGTTTAAATTGTTCAAAGGAAGGAAGGAGGTAGGAGGGAGAATGATGAAGGGGGTGAATCAAATTAAGATACATTGTAAGCACACTGTAAACATCACAATGAAATACCTGAACAACTAATATATGCTAATAGAAATGCAGGGGAAAAAAAAAGATTCCAAAGCTATGCTATTGTTAAGTCCTTACATCCAAAATTCTCTAGCACCACAGTAAACCACAAGTCACAACTATACTACAGAATGGAATCATGATAGAGAATACCTTTCCAGGTGTCCGCTTCAGATACTTGTGTTTTCCCAGAATACTGTTTGCTGGAAGCTTGGCTATCCCTCCACTCCCACTCCACTCTCCCCATTTGGGAGCAGCCTGAAGGTGTTGTGGATCCCACTGGTTAAGATCCATGCTTGCTACCTAACTAGTTCATACCAGTTGTACTCATTATACTTATACGTGTAAATATCACAGTATTCAGTAAGAAATGACTGCAGTAACAGAGGCCTTTGTTCTAACAGGATGCTGTGGATAATTTGGATGCTAAAGAAAATCACTGAAAATAAATTTGCTATAGATTAAGTGAAGCCAAAACCTGAAAAATTCGATATTCAGAATGTTTTTACAAATGTCTTTAAGTTTTCTTACAACTGGGGGAAACAAAAACCACTTAGAAAGGATGAATTATAGATGTGGCATAATGTCCCAGATTTGAAACAAAGTTAACATTGAATTGCAAATAAACTGGCAAATAAATGCATTCTTTACATGTTTTGTGTTGAAATAAAATGCTTATGGTAGATTTTTTTTTAAATTCCCTGTTTTAAACGACTTTTTAAATTAACTGAAACATTGCCAGGTGCATTATATCAGAGAGAGGACTTCTACTACGTTAACATAGTTTATGTTTCGTATACCAAAATTTCCTCAACTGAATTCAAAAAATAAATTTAACATTTTCTTCATGTTAAAACTGCATATACAATAATTCTAAAATAACATGTTATAAAAGAGTGTTTAAATAAATTATACAGAAAATAATGAATGAAGAGGCAGCTGGACATTCTCAAGAATGTTTTGTTTCAACCACAAATACCCATTGGTGTCCTGTGACTTGACAGTAGTTCAGCACTTCCCTGGGAAGTCTATGAAAATATGAGTTAAGAATATAAAATCCAAAGGCTATGGCAGCTAGAAAATAACTGGAAAGCATAAAGGAAGATAATGTATGATGTGTTCAGCATAAAATTCATCATTCACATACCTGTTTTTGATGTGGTAATATATTGCAAGAGCTACACTGTAAAATGAAACACAGAAATTCAATGCATCATAAATGTATTCGGTATTTCATAATTATCTGATAACAGTCTGAACATCAATATTTATATAAAAGTCAAACACCGAAGAGTCCTATTTCATTCAGAACACTGATCAGGAAATTCACTCTTCAAATTAAATCACTTCAATGTTCATTCCTGGGAGTATTAAGTCTTTTCTAGAAACAACAGAACTTCAAGTGAAATGTAGAAATAAACTGCTCCACAGAAATAAAAGCTTCATCACTTGTGAAAGAGACACTATATAAAAGACGTGCTACAAATTAAACATCTTAGAACTCTCTAACTCATTGCCTACTGGTAATCAGCTTATCTTTGATTTGGACATTCCTCTCCCTTCTGAGTATCCCCATTCTCTTAAGTGTCAAAGCCCCTGGCTAGAGTAAAGGTTTCGTCCTTGATCATAACCAAAACAAGTGAGAAATGCTGGCACTTCCCAGATGGATTCTGATGCCCTCCCTTTTAGTTGAGGCCCACCTACCCAGATCCCAGACACACATTTTAAAAGATGATACTTTTTAAAGTCACTGAACTATTAACTGAAGGAATTTCAAGTCTGGGAGGTGCAAAGAAAACAGCTGTCCCCTTACACCAAGGTTCCTCAATCTTAGCTGCCTATTGGAACATCTTATGGTGGTTTCAAGGTCCAGATACCCAGGCTACCCCCAGATGTCAGAGAGATAGTGAACATCAGAGTGTTTTTAAGCAGTCTGGGCTGGAACCAGTGAGACATACTTGTAACTTAGGTGCTTGTTCCTCCCAGGCTTGACCAATGAACTATCAACTGTTACCAAGTATTCCTACCAGGCTCTCATGTGTCTATGTCAAAACCAGTGGCAATTTTTTAAATCATCCAAGGGTGATGTTCAGAACTGAGTCAGATCCATTGTGAGTCTCAAGAGCTCCCACAGTTCTTGAAAGCAAGGCTGACTTTACCTTGGTGTCACATCTCACTTCCTGGGAAGAATGGGGAAGCTGGCAGCTCTCATCCTGGACTATCAGAGCTCAAGCAGGTACCAAGAGCAACATGGTGAACACATCTTCAGGGCTTTCTATTTCTCTCCACAAGGCCAACCCACTTAATCAAGAAAACACTTCCAAGAAGCACTGGCCACCCATTTCCCAGCAGTCAATTTCAGCCCAGAGGAGCAGTATAAGGTTACACAAAAACCTACACTGTGCAGCGAGAACACATCTCTTCCATTTGGGTTTATGCCCACTAGTCATTTACTATACTCAAAGGCCAGGTCAATGAGGGAGAGGCTACATTTCCATTAGAATCTCAGAAGCATGCAGCCCTACAGAGAATGAATTCTACAGAAAAAGCATCGCCATCCAAGTGATGGGACACTGTACATCGAAGCTGTTGTAGTAGCCACCACCTGACCAAGGCTGGGACTGTCACATGTAGTTCAGTTCAGAAAGGGGCTTTTAAAAACTTGATTCATTAAAAGAGATCACTTCATACCTAACATGTATTGCCATTAAATGTGTACTTTCTTAAACAAGCATACAAATACAACGTCCCTGATTCCTCACACTTGGGTTGTTGACCACAGGCTCCAACACTTCAAGTGCTCTGAGATACCTACCGTGAGTGGCTGCTGACATTACAAGAAAAACCAGAGAATGATGGAGGGGGTGAATTTAACTAATGTATATTTTAAGCACTTTTGTAAATGTCACAATGTACCCCCAGTAAAATAATATGATAAATAAATTTTAGAAAAATTTTTAAAAGAAATAAAAATAAAAACCAGTGCTCCCTGCCTTCAGGAAACTGAAGCCCCCAAAAGGGAAGTGATTTGATCCAAAGCACCCCCTTCCTCCCTCCTAAAGTCCACTTGAAAATACAGAACTAAAGCCCCATGTTGAATTCTGCTAGAATCCTCTCTGCTGATGAAAGAGCCAAGGGCAGTCTCTCAACTCCAGGCATCACAGTTTACTATGCCAGAAGGTCTAGTGAACTGCAGCCCAAGTCTTCAACTGAGCCTACAGGAGCCTTGTTTTATTTAGAAGGCAAACTAAGAGCTGCATTATGCCAAGATGTCTTCAATCAACAATGAAAGGGTAAAAGGTATGCACAAAAATTAAAAAATGTATCTTAGAGGTCATCTATATTTAAAATAATTTAAAATGTTCTTTTTGCATGATGATAATTGTACTTATAAGCGCTGTCCTTTGAAAAACACTCTTTAGAAAACTGAATTTTTTATAATTCTATTTTTGTTATTTATATCAATAACTGCAAATTATCTATTTTTGTACTCAATTATATTACAATAATTTACTGTCTTTGTATTTATAAGGTATTATGTATGATATTGATAACTTATGATACCATATAATAAAAACAAGTTAAATAATAAAACAAAAATAAAATGTTATTTTTATATAAATAGTAATATGCAGAAATATTCCAAACACTGAAATCTTAACAACCAACCAAAGCCACTTTTTAAAAAGAATTCCTCATTTTCAGTGTTCCTCCCCTCCCCAAATTTTATCACCCCTCCCAGAGCCCACAACCAGCCAGCATCAGTGTAAAGAACAGAAAGAGCATTCAGTTAGGCAGAAATCTTCATACCCACCATTTAATTGTATACTTGAGGTTTGGTTGACTGACTGTGCTATCATCAAGGAAAATAGTGGAGCATGAACTGTATTTCCTTGCTATTTGTCCAGGAGGATGCTAGAAAACAATGCAACAAGACAAAGACAATTACACAGGGTTCAAAATTCTTCCAATCAACATCAACCGTTCATATGAGATCAGGCAACAGAAAGAAAACGTTTTAATGAGAAGTGTTAACACTACCACCACCACCAACAGGACAAAAATACTTTACTATAAAATGAACTTCTTTGTTCTTATACATATAAATTGCCGCCACCACCACTCCTAGTCCCCAATCTTCTTCACCAGGAGAACAGTACACATTTACAATCAAGCATCACTGTGATTGTTCCAGAGTCCATAAAACTATGGGACCTCGGTAAAGTATGGAATGTATGGCTCTCTATTTCAAATGAAGTCTGTCATTAGGTGACATCTTAGTTTTATGCTCTAAGGTCAAGTCAAAAACCCACTGTCCCAATTTCTCTATTCTTGGGATATAGTTGACCTGGGGGGAATGGAAAATGCAGCCAAGGCTAATTTAAAATCTCCTGGCTAATCTGCTTAAATTTTAGCAAGGGAAGTTAAATAAAAGTATTCCTTTATTAAGGACAAAAAGCATTTTGAAGGGAAACATTGTCTGATGCTTTTGAAAGCACGACCTTTACTAATAAACAGTAATTTAATAATAATAAAATGCCTTTAATACTATGCCTGTATACTCTCATGACTGGTTCTTTCACAATTACCTCAGTTTTGAGTTCTGTGGAAAATTTTAGAAGCACTTCCAAAAGGTAATGGTGAAGAAAATAGAGTTTAAATTACACACTGAGTGATAAGCGGATTTTGACAACAGCTTGGGAAACAGGATTTGTAGACATCGATCTGGATAATTCATGGTCAGAAAAAAAATCAAATAATGCAAACAAGTTCCTACTTGCCTGATGCTATGTTGCCAATGTAAGTGTCATTTTCAGCAACCATAAGCCCTTAGAGATCATGAAATTGCCTGCCTGAACTGCCCACAATTAGCAAAATCCTTGGGGATACACAGTTCATGAATTTAGTCAGGAAGCTTTGATGCCAATTAAAGACCAAATGCCCTGTTCAAGGCTTTGACATCTGCTTTCTATTTAATAAATTCCTTCTGTAACAAAATTATGAAAATTTGCAGCAGTCAGAGAAGTACATAAACAATGCCACAAATATAATTTCCTCTCAAACACTAATCAATACTGGTTAGTATTTTGGGTACCGAATTCCTTAAATCACAGCTAGAGGGCACTACACTAATAAAGCATTCTGACCCTCTCCAGCTAGCTCTCACTTTTTAAACAGCATCAAGTCAGAGAAAAATAACTAAGAGTCAGGAACTCTAGTGTTCAGACTTGTTCTTAGGCTTCTCTCTTGAGCTCACACTATTAGGTGCTTGTATAGGAAAGAGCATGAAGAAAAGTTCAAGTTACAACTTAAGTGTTCATTTTAACCTGACATTTCCACATCAAGTGAATCACAACATTCTCATTAAGACAATCCAAAAGCATCAAAAACAATTCTCTTTCTCTTTTAATCTCTTACAGCAATTACCCCAAAATCACATAAGACTTATCTATCAAAAGCTATAAAATGGGTGGCAAGCTCTCAAAATCCTTAAGGAATTTCCCTCACAGAGGCAAACATCTACCATAAACAAAATTATCAGTTGGGCAAGGTGTGGCACACCTGCAATCCCACAACATGGGAGGTTGAGGCAAGACGAGAGAGGTCAAGGCTAGTCTGGGCCACAAAAACAACAAAAATCAACACAAGCTATGTTTATCACAAAAATCCAGTAATTGATATGATGATGACTTTTTAGAGATATGGTTGTTAATAATCCCAACAACAAAGCAAAAGGATTTCACTTCTACTTCTTATAGGGTTTCAACTACACATTCTATCAAGATCAAAATGTGACAGGAACTGCAAAGAACTAGTTTCCCTAAGAAAATACAACCATGAGGTCGGGAAGGAGACAGGTGATGCACTCAGGCAAGTACAGCCTGCATTCCCTTCTAATCTAAGACATCACCTTTGTGGGCTAAGGAGCAGGAACAGCCCGGGGTGGGCACAGACAGAAGGTTCAGAGCATTAACTCAAAGCTAGTCATACAAAGCAACTCAGACCTTTCAGGATCACCCCAGCTGCTAGTTTGAGGATTCAGAACTAAGAGCTGATATGTTGAACCCTTAATTTTTCAAGGGAATGTCAAGTCAGCTTTTAAACTATTTAACAATTTTATGACTAAAAACCCTGAATGTTAAGTTGTAAAGAATTTTGGTTTCGGGGCATCTCATCAACCTAAATACGATTTGGCATTAACTCATTGAGATTTGTACAATGTAAGTTTCTTTTGACCTGAAACCCTACGCCACTAAGCTGAAATCGCTAGAATCCTTCTACCAGGAAAGCTCTTGAGCCTAGGTCTGCTTGCCTGTTTTGGTTTTTGGTTTGAGTGATTCCTCTTAGGATGTAGCAGATGTGGGTCCTGTGATTCTTTAAACCTCTGAAGGCATAGAAGCATTAGATACATTCACTGAAACATATTTTAGCTTGTTCTTTTTAAGTGGCACACGGTATGTTGGATGGCTCTGTTTTAGTCTAAATATTTTAAAATTTGTTGCCCATGATCTAAAAAAATCACTACACTTATACATGTTAGGGGTGGGGAGGGGTCACTCTTTCACTTAGGCTCCAGTCTCTGCTAGTAAAACACACAGCTGTTAAGATGCACTGGAGAAACAGCAAATACAGTGGTTAAGAAGACAGACACTGGAGCCACAACTTGGGTGTGAATGTGACCCACTGAAACTACCTATGTGACCTAGGCAGGTCACTTTGCCTCTCTCTCTGAACCATTGTTTCCTTACCTGTAGAACAGAGATGAAAGTAACAGCCCCTTCCTCACAAAGTCATTATGAGGAGTACCTGAGTTAAAAATTTCTAAGTGCTGAAGTGCAGAGCTGACACCTATGCTTAGTAAGAAACCAAATACATTCACCATTTACAAGAATGACAGGAACGCTTTTTATGCCTAATGTCCATAACGTTTTAGAACATAAAAGAAAATGCCTAAGACAGTGCCTTACTTGATAAAGATGGTCATAATACTACAGATAGCTTCGAGAGATTTTCTCAAGAATGACAACTATCTCGAGGGCCAACCACAAACTCTGCTTACGAGGTGAGCAGGGACAGTCTGATTAGTGGGAAGCTCAACTGTGGATTATTTCTAAGGAAATAAATTATTTTTGAAACAATGCGCATTTTACAAATTAAATTAACAAGATGTGGAATTACAGAACTTCAGAGCTACACTGCAATGAGATCATCCAGTCTGCTTATTTATGTAATGTCCACAGTGAAAAATAATTTACATAATGTCTGCAGTACAAGGTCCACTGATACATAAAAATTATTGGAAGAGCTGTCATGTGTCCCAAATAATGAAGATTATCTTCTTAGATAATTCCAATATTGATGTTTGTTATACACAAAGACACACAGACACAGACAACCGCACACATACACATATACGCCTTCTCAAATCCCTAATATCCCTGTAGGAGTGTGCATCACAGACAAAAAGGACCCACTGTGCCCTGTCTGCTCACCTCTTGCTTGTTCCTCCCTAGCAAGTGGTTTTGCAATACCTCCCAACTTATCTCACACCAGGGCTACTAGTTCCTCCACCTCTTCCATCTGTCTTTCCAAGCTGGCTCACACCCCACATTCCCTTTCCATTCACAAAGAGCTCCCTGCTGCTATACCAAGAAGTGTTTCTCAGCCCTGGTATTAATTTGATTTTTGACTTGAAACTCTTCTTTGCAGTATTGGAGACTGAATCCAGGGCCTCACAAGTGTTCTACCACTTAAGCTACTATATTGTATTTTCTTTTTAAAAGAGTCTTGCTAACTTTGCCAAGGGTGGCTTCAAATTTGTGATCCTCCTGCTTCCACCTCCTAAATAGCTGGAATTATACACACGCACATGTGGCTCCCTATCTTTCTTGCTATATAGTCTCAGTCCCTTTTGTAAATTTCACTTCTCTGATCTCCATCAAATGGAATGGGCTTTTCTCCTCCTGCTATAATCTCTCTACTAAGGAGCAGCTCTCTTCTGAGCTCACCCTGCCTGTGTTACATGAATCTGTTCCTCCAATCAACTCTGATGTCTTAAAACCACAGTGCCACAGAACATTCTTGAATCTTCTGCCTTCCTTTCTTTTAAACACTTCCATCAATAGTTGTTGATTCTACTTCCTAAGTACCTTTTAGAAGTCATCCTTTCCTCTTACAGTTCTCCAACCACTATAGGGTATCATTTCTCACCTGCATTACTGCAACAGTCATCACCTGCCTCTTGGCTCATTCCTCTCCTCACCATTCCTCTTTCTGCAAAGCAAATTATGGGACTTCCCTGTTTAAATGATCCTGAGGCAGACACTCATCACTCTTCATCTCTCCACATGCAACATTCACTTCCTCCTTCCATGCATGCTGCACCTAATTATGCCTAATTAAACCATGACAGGAACAACATCACTTTTACTTAATGCCCATCACATGTGAGCCAGCAATGTACGTGTATTCATGTACAGTTCACAAGCACACCCAGCAAAGCAGGTAAAATTCCCATTTTATAGACAAAGGAGGTCAGAGAAATAAAGTAACATTTTCCAAGGTCAAATCTAAGACACCAGAGCTCAGAGTCATGCTTTGTCTAGCTCCAAAGTCTATGCCTTCTTACATATAGAACTTTGCTGACACCATTCATTCTCCAGAACTCTGCTAACAGCCCTTTGTGGTGCCCCAAGACCTGTATGGGCCCAGTGTCCCTCTCATATTCTATGTGCCCTGTTCTTGCCTTCCACAGCAACGACCACTCTCCACTGTCATTTGCTGCTCACTCACCTATGTTCTAAGGCCTAGACTCTGTCTTGTGGGTAGACTGTATCGTTTTCTTGAGTCAGCAAATGAGAAGCAGCTCCATACCTGGGACCAGCATGCCAATGACCATGGTAAAATTGCCTCCA